CCACAGCAATCAGACAAGAAAAAGAAATAAAAGGCACCCAAATCAGAAAGGAGGAAACAAAACTGTCACTGTTTGCAGATGACATGAGAGTGTACATAGAAAATCCTATAGCCTCCACGAAAAAACTGGTTGACGTAATAAATGAATTTGGCAAAACAGTGGGATACAAAGTCAATATCCAGAAATCAAAGGCATTTCTGTACACCAACAATGAAATAGCAGAAGCAGAGATCAAGGAAAAAATCCCATTTGAAATAGCAAAGAGAAAAATAAAATATCTAGGAATAAACCGAAGCAAAGAGGTAAAAGACCTGTATTCAGAAAACTACATAACTCTGAGGAAAGAAATCAAGGAAGACCCAAACAAATGGAAACATATACCGTGTTTATGGATTGGAAGAATTAATATCATCAAAATGTCCATACTACCTAGAGCAATTTACACTTCCAATGCAATTCCAATTAAAGTACCAATGGCTTATTTCACAGACATAGAACAAACACTTCAAAAATTTATATGGAATCATAAATGACCCCGAATAGCTGCAGCAATTTTGAGAAAGAAGAGGAAAGTACGAGGGATCACAATACCTGACACTAAACTATACTACAAAGCCACTGTAATCAAAACAGCCTGGTACTGGCATAAAAACAGGCACATAGACCAATGGAACAGAACAGAGAGCCCAGAAAGAAACCCAAGTCTCTATGGTCAATTAATATTTGACAAAGGAGGCAGCAACATAAAATTGAGTAAAAATAGCCTCTTCAACAAATGATGTTTCGAGAAATGGACAGCCACGTGCAAAAAAATGAAACTCAAGCACCAACTTACACCATATACAAAAATAAATTCAAGGTGGATAAAAGACTTAAATATAAAACGGGACACCATTAAAGTCCTAGAGGAGAATGTAGGTAGGAAAATCTCAGATATTTCATGCAGAAACTTTTTTACTGACATGTCTCCTAGAGGAAGGGACAAAAAGGAAAGAATAAACAAATGGGACCTCATCAAAATTAAAAGCTTCTGCACACCTAAAGAAAACAGTATCAAAATTAAAAGAGAACCAACTGTATGGGAAAACACATTTGCCAATGATACCTCAGACAAGGGTTTAATCTCCAAAATATATAAAGAACTGACACGGATACACTCTAAGAGGATAAGCAACCCAATTAAAAAATGGGCAAAGGACTTGAACAGACACTTCTCCAAGGAGGACATACAGAAAATCCAAAGACACATGAAACGATGTTCAATATCACTAGCTATCAGAGAGATGTAAATGAAAACCACAATGAGGTATCACTTCACACCAGTCAGAATGGCCATCATAAACAAGGCAACAAACAACAAGTGTTGGAGAGGTTGTGGAGAAAAGGGGACCCTAGTGCACTGCTGGTGGGACTGCAGACTGGTACAACCACTATGGAAAGCAGTATGGAACTTCCTCAGAAAACTAAAAATGGATCTGCCTTTTGACCCTGCAATTCCACTGCTGGGACTAAATCCTAAGAACACTAAAACACCAATTCAAATGAACCTTTGCACCCCAATATTCATAGCAGCACAATTTACAATAGCTAGATGCTGGAAGCAACCTAGATGCCCATCATTAAATGAATGGATCAAAAAACTATGCTACATTTATACAATGTAATTCTATGCAGCAGAAAGAAAGAAGGAGCTCCTGCCCTTTGCAACAGCTTGGATGGAGCTGGAAAGCATTATGCTAAGCGAAACAAGCCAGGCAGTGAAAGACAAATACCACATGACCTCACCTTTAACAGGAACCTAAACAACAAAACAAAGAAACAAGCAAAATATAACAAAAGACACTGAAATAGAGGACAGGCTGACAGGGACCACAAGGGAGAGAAGAGGGAGTTTCAGGGGACAATGGGAAGGGTTTACAGGAACAAAGTTAAAGGACACGTGGACAAAAACTAGGGGAAGGGTGGTAATGGGCGGGAAGAGGGGAGAGTTGGCTGGCTGGGCTGGATTGGGAGTAAAAGGGAGAAAACTGTACTTGAACAAAGATTAAAGTAAAATTTAAAAAAGAACAGAAGGAATGATTAAATTATTATATCTCTATAAAAGGGACTATCCGGAGGAGCCATTTAAAATATGTTATTAAATTACTTACAGGACATCTGGCCAAGATGGAGACGTACTTGAGATAAACTGTACCTCCTCGCACAACCAAAAGTACAACATATTTACAAACATAAAAAACCCAGAACTGATAGAAAATCGAACTATATAGTAGTCCAACAACCAAGGAATTAAGGGAGAAACATTCATCCAGACCGGTAGGAGGGGAGGAGATGGGCCGCCAGACAGGTAGGACTCGCAGCAAGGCAGCAGATGGAGGACCGGGGCGGGCAAGGCGGCAGCTGGTGCATCCGTTAGGCAGTGGCTTCTGACCTTGTAGGTCCCATATTCGCATGCAGACAAACTGGGAGGAACTACTGGGGAGGAAGATAGACTATACAACCCACGATTCCACTGTGGGGAAATAAAGCCTCCAAGCCTCTGACTGAAAACACCTGTGGGGCCTGAGGAGGCAGGAGAAACTCCCAGCTTCAAGGGAGAATTCATTGGAGAGACCCACAGGGACCTGGAACATACACAAACCCACCCACCTGGGAATCAGCACCAGAAGGGCCCAATTTGATTGTGGGTAGTAAGGGAAGTGACTAAAAACTGGTAGAGAGCGGAGAAAGCAGCACTGTTCCCTCTCAGACCCCTTCCATACATACAGCTTCACAACAAAGCAACATGGGTTGCCCCGCCCTGGTGAACACCTAACGCTCTGTCCCTTACTACGTAACAAGCCCATTGAGACAAAAAAAAAAAAAGGTCCAAATGAAAGAACAAACCTCCAACTAAGTGACAAAGAGATAGCCAACCTATGAGATGCCCAGTTTAAAACATGGGTAATCACGATGCTCACAGAACCGACTGAGCTTGGTGGCAAAAGGAAGAAACAAATGAAGGCTACCCAAAGTGAAGTAAAGCAAAATATGCAGAGAACCAAAAGTGACAGGAAGGAAACCAGGACTCAAATCAATGGTTTGATGCATACAGAAGAAATAAACATTCAACCAGAACAGAATGAAGAAAAAACAATTAAAAAAAAAATTAGGAGAGGCTTAGGAACCTCCAGGACATCTTTAAACATTGTAACATCTGAATCAAACGGGTGCCAGAAGGAGAGGAGGAAGAGCAAGAAACTGAAAGCTTATTTGAAAAAATAATGAAGAAAACTTCCCCAATGTGGCAAAGTAAATAGACTTTCACGAAGTCCAAGAAGCTCAGAGAGACCCAAAGACGCTGGATCCAAGGAGGAACACATGAAGGCATATCATAATTACATTTCCAAAGATTAAAATTAAGGAGAAAATCTTAAAAGCAGCAAGAGAAAAGGATATAGTTACCTACAAAGGAGTTCCCATAAAACTGTCAGCTGATTTCTCCAAAGAAGCCTTGCAGGCAAGAAGGGGCTGGAAAGAAGTATTGGAAGTCATGAAAGGCAAGGGCCTACATCCAAGATGACTCTATCCAGCAAAGCTATCATATAGAATGGAAGGGCAGATAAAGTGTTTCCCAGATAAGGTCAAGTTAAAGGAGTCCATCATCACCAAGCCCTTATTATATGAAGTGTTAAAGGGACTTATCTAAGAAGGAGAAGATAAAAAATATGAACAGAAAAATAACAACAAACTCACAACTACCAACAACCAAACCTAGCAAACAAAACAAGCCAAGCAAACAACTAGAACAGGAACAGAATCGTAGAAACGGAGATCACATGGAGGGTTATCAGGAGGTATGGGGTGGGGGAAAGACTGCAGGGAGAAGGAACAGGGAATAAGAAATATACATGGTAGGAACAAAATAGACAGGGGGAGGTTAAGAATAGTATAGGAAATGGAGAAGCCAAAGAACTTATACGTATGACCCATCAATATGAACTAAAGGGGCAGAGGGAATGCAGGTGGGAGGGGGTGTGGAGGGCAGAGGAGAATAAAGGGGAGGAAATGGGACAAGTGTAATAGCATAATGAATAAAATGTATTTTTTTTAAAAATTACTTACTGACAAAATAAAATATATGTAAAACATTAATTTTTTAAAAGGCAGGATATAGACCTGCCTGGTGTGGCTCAGTGGACTGAATGTTGTCCTGCATACCAAAGGGTCACTGGTTCAATTACCATTTAGGGCACATGCCTGACTTGTGGGCCAGGTCCCCAGTAGGGGGTATGGGAGAGGCAACCACACTTTGGTATTTGTCTCCCTCTCTTCCATGTGTAAAAATAAATGAATAAAATCTTTTAAAAGATAGAGTGATTTATTTCATTTTGAAAAAAAGGCAGGATATAAAATTATATATAAGGTTTAGCATTCATTTGACACTTCTACTATATCAGTTAGATATGGAATTTAAAGTTGATCTTGACTCAGATCTCATTATGGCTCTGTAGTTCAATCACCTTAGGCAAATAACCTCTGTAATTCTCATTTTTAAAAGGAAGTATACTACCATTAATCGTATAAAGTTATTAAAAGATCAAATGATAATAATATAAAAAACAAGAACTTAAAACGATTAAATGGTAAAAACAATATGTAGGCTATCTAGCACAAAATAATTCAGTAAATTTTCACTATTACTAGTCCTCTCGTCTTTATGTAAAATACTACACAAAGGTACAAAATAAGACATGAAACAAACTAAAACATTAACAGGAACTATATCTGAGGGTACAAGTGATTTTTATTTTCTTCCTTATCTTTCCTAAGTTTAACAATTAATGCATAATATTCTTATCTGAAAAATTTGTTAATAAAAGTTAATTTTGAGTTTCACAATACTCTACTTCCCGAGTAACATTACCCCTCCCTGACCCCCACCTCCCTGACCCCTATCTCCCGCCCCCGCCCCCCCACAGACCTCTGCACCCACTCTTAACCCATATTTACACACTGACCTGAAGAACAGTAAGCTGAAATTTAGTCCCTTTCTCTGGTCTAGGACAGGAAGCTCTTCTCTGTTTGATCCGATCTTGTTTGCCATTTCCACTTGGGTTGTCAGGGGCATTAGTGTTTTCCTTCACAGCTGTCATATCATGTTGCAAACTAGTAATTAAAAACACAAAAGCAACTTCTATTCAATTTCTCAGGGAACACATTATTCTGTGATTCTCAAAGCCCAATATTTAACCCAAATCAGTTAACATCTGAAATCTCTTCATGGCTACAATCATTTCATTATGATGACACAATTCTAAGAAAACTTCCCAAGTATAAAATCAGAATTTATGGAAAATAAATAAGTAATAGCTTAGTTGGGTAGAGCATTGTCCTGATACTCCATGGTTAAGGGTTTGATACAACACGTGTAAGAATCAACCACTGAATACATAAATAAGTAGAACAACAAATTGATATCTTTCATCTCTCTCTGTGTCCTTCAAACCAGTAGATAAAAAATTTTAAAGTTATGATTTTATAACTGTGAATATTCTTAAAGTCACTGAACTGTATACATTTAATGGGTGAATTTCATGGTATATGAACTATATCTCAATAAAGCTGTTTTATAAGTTATAAAAGACTGAGATCATGTTGTATTTGTTTGAGAAACATTTTCTCACAGTAGTGAAAGAGAAAGAAAAACACTAACAGTGCCTGGCCTCTATGGAACCTTTTATCAGAGGACCCTCTTGATTAATTTTATCCTGTTTGTGTTTTCTTATTAATATGTTCAAATAAAACATCTAGAAATCAATTCTCACTCAAAATATACCTTTCTATGCAATGAACTCAAGAGAGGACAGACAGACAGGGTGTGAAACACAGGAATAGTGCAGGAGGGCAAAACAACAAATGGAAAAAATATGAAGAAAATATGGTATATGTTATAGAATGAAATATCTACCAATGAAACAGAATGCAATCTTGGCATTTGCAACAGCATGGGTAGGCTTACAGGGCAGTATGGTAAGGGAAATAAATATAAACTAAGAAAGACAAGTACATATAATCTCACTTATACGCAGAATCTACAAACAAAAACAAAATCCAAGTTCAGATACAGAGAAGATTATTGGTTGTCAGAAGTGGGGGGAGGAGTGGCGAGGGTCATAGGTAGGCAAAATAGGTGAATGGAGTAAAAAAGGTACAAACTTCCAGATATAAAATAAATAAATAAATCACAATATAATGTGCAGCATGGAGAGTATAGTCAATAAAACTATGCTGCATATTTCAAAGTTGCTAAGAGAGAAGACCTTAAAAATTCTTATCACAAAGAAAAAATTATTTAACTATGTGAAATGATGGATGGATTTATTGTGGCAATCACTTCACAATATATACAATATCGAATCATTACATTGTATACTTGAAATACAAAGTTGAGTATCAGTTATACCTCCTTATCAATCAATCAAATACACCAAAATTTTGCTTAAAAATGAAAACACATGATGTGAAAAAGTTTCAACATGATTAATTCTAAATAGTTGTATTTTGCAGGTTCAAATCAATGATTATGAAAGGGTCGATTAACTTTCCATTTGTCCATGTCAAGAACGCTTTTCAGTTTTTTTCTTTAATACCTTTGAAGATACTTCAATAAATATAAAAATTACAGTAAATACAATTGAAACAAATGCTAAGATCTATAAGTACCAAACAGATATTTTAAATTAATTTTTAGGTAAACTCCTCTTAAAACTACTCATAAACTACCTGCAATAAAGATATATAATAAAAAACACAAATAACTCCTAAATTTTTTTCTATTTTCACATAAAAAAACATTTTGCATAAACCTAAGTGGTGGTAGAAGGTGCAATTAATACTTAGTTTTTTTAATACACAGAGAAATAGCAATAGCAAATAACACCTTCAACAGTTAAAAGTGATATAATACTACTCAGTGAGGTTGTATCATTCATTCACATTGCAGATTTATCTTAAAACACTAATTTAGTGTTTAGGACAAGGTGGTAGAAATTCAACTCTCCTTGTTTCTCTCCTCAAAGTATAATTACAAAATTATGAAAATATGAAAGTAGACAATCACAGGAGGGCACTGAAGGGTGAAAAGATGAAATAAGACTGGTTAGGGAAGTAAGACTGGTTAGGGAATCCCTAACAGTTAAAGAAAAAGATAACAGTTTAGCAACTCCCGATTACCCACACAGTGACAGAAGGCAGTCCAGAATCTGCACCCATAGGCCTAGGCAGTCCATGCTCAGTGGTTTCGTTACCCCCAACCCTGCAGGAGAAAGTGGTTCAGGCAAGCCCTTGCCTCCCCCTGGTAACTCTGGTGTTAACCCCACCAGTAGCATGTGACCAACTTATAGAGCTACACTGAGGCAGGAAGCCTAGAATAGTGTTCTTCACCCCTTTCAAACACAGGTGGAGCCCAAATATGCAAGGTGGTCCAAAGAGACCACAGTCGTACTACAAGTACTCTAAAAACTAAATTCTCATTAGAACAGGGTGACTGCCAGATAAACCACAATATTTAAATAGGACCCAGAGTCTCCTAACACAGTATTCAAAAGGTCCAGGAGACAAATGAAAGTTCCTTGTCATACCAAAACCCAGGAAAATCACAATTTGAATGTGGAAATACAATCAATTGATGTCAACACCAGGATGAATCAGATATTGGAATTAACTGAAAGGGATTTTAAAGCAGCCATCATCAAAATGACTCAATAAGCAATTACAAATACTCTTGAAGCAAATGAAGCAAAACAAACAAACAAAAAACTCATTAAAAATAGAAAATATTAGCCCTGGCTGGTGTGGCTCAGTGGATTGGATGCTGGCCTGTGAATCAAAGGCTCACCTGTTGTTCAATTCCCAGTCAGGGCACATGCCTGAGTTGCAGTCTAGGTCCCCAGTGGGGTGCACATGAGAGGCAACCACAGATTGATGTTTCTCTCCCTCTCTTACTCCCTCCCTTTCCCTCTCTAAAAATAAACAAATAGAATCTTTTAAAAAATGAAAATAGAAGATATTAAAAAAGAAAAAAATGGAAATTACAGAACTACAAGGAACAATAATTAAAAATAATTCAATGAATGGACATAATAGAATAACACAGGAAAGAAGAAAGGACTAGTGAACTTCAAAACAGAACAGGAATTACCCAATATGAATATCAGAAAAATATTAGTTTATAACTACCAAATAATAACATAATTATACTTACATCTAGTTATAATTTATTTCTTTAGATTAGGTGGAATTTTATTCTAAATTACAGTATTTTTTTTCCTTTTTTAAATCCTCCTGAGCTTTTCTTAAAAACAGAATGTTATGATGAGAAAAAGAAATGATGAATAATTTCACAATCTATATGATCTTTATTAAAATAAAAAGCAAAATAATACCTACTATTTTTATTGAACATACACATAAGTACAAAAATGAAAAATCTTCTCTAATTAAGATACAATCAGTCCCTAATTAATACAAATACTTTCAACATACACTTACCATTTCCATGGTATAAAATTTGAAGATACTTACCTTCTAACTAAATCTGGTTTTAGAAGAGTTGCTTGTTGTTCAATTCCAACTGGTTGGGATATAGGCTGTAAATAATATAGAAATAAAACTTGTTATGATAACATGAAACTTCAAGCCAAAGACGGAATTAGGTATTATTTTGGGAAACGTACTTGTTACATATCATGTTTTGGTTACCTCACAAACCACGCAGAAAATCTACACTATCAAAAATCTCTTTAAATCTCATTAATTTTACTACCAAAGAAAAAGAAAACTAAACTACAGCAATACTCATTAACATTCTTCATTAAGAAAAGAGAGCATTTAGTTTTATATGATTTTGCTTGTGTTATTTTTCAGCAGAGAACACTGACATTCAGCTTCCAGTCCTGGTTGTAAAATTACTCCTAAAGGAAGAGTTACTGCCATTATACAAATAGATAAATCAATGACTCAAGCTTTAACATACTGTGTGGTCTCATCATTCTTCCTCTTTTTTCCACAAAAGTACTGCCAATTATCCCTCTGAGGTGTTAGTATTGGGAAGCTACAATACAGATTTCTAGGAGGAAACTATAAGCCTCCTAAACAGGCAAATGCCAACAATTTTAAACATTTATATAATCCATCCTGTGCATTACCACTGGAGATAGCAGAATGATCTTAAAATGCAAATCTATCAGAAATGATCTCTTCCCTACCCTGTTTAAACCCCCTATGATGGTTCGCCATTTTCTATAAGGTTAAGTTCTTTCAGATGGCACATAAAAGTCCTCAGTGAACTGGTCTCTGCCTCATTTCTGTAGCCCCTTCTCTGCTCAAAGCCACAATAAAGGAGTTGGACTTTCCCATATACTGTGACTCTACTTATGCTCCTATTATCTCCCTGGATTATTACAACTCCTCCATAAGTCCTGTCCACTTAGCAAATATCTAGACAGAACTCCTATACAAAAAAAGCCTGTACTAAAGTGGGTTCCGGACACCAACAAAATCACCTTGGGTACTCTAAAAAACATATGCCTTAGTTCATGTCTTGTTTTCTAAACTAAAGGGGATGAAGGTTTCTTAGACAAAATGGTTGATTTTGGCCCTGGGACAAAGAAAGTACTAGATGAACCTAGATCACCTTGTTGTCCCAAAAAGTAAGAGAACTGCTCAAAGAATGATGGGAATGTATCACAGGCAGATAGAAGCCAGATTGACGGGATTCCCACTGCCAACAATTTCAGCATCAGAATAAATAATGATAGCAACACAATATAACCCATTCAATAAAATAAGAATCCATGAAGTCATACTTATACAAATAAAGGAAAGGTCTTACAGTACAAGGCCAAGTAATAAATATAAGGACTGAAGAAGTTAGAAAATCATCAATGGATGATAAAACCAAAGAGTAAATGTTGGATGAGGAACAGGATATTTACACAGTTTCAAAATATCTCCTCACAGATAACTTATCAATTGCAAAAGCAAAACAAAACAAAACAAAACAATCACTTTACAGCAGAACTTGGCAGGCCCTACCTTAACCAAATAATCAAATTAAACCTCAGCAATATTGGGACAAATTGACACCACATGCCTCCTGATATGATAAAATATGCAAATAACACAAATTCCTTACATGTTATTCCTGATAAAAATGCATGATCTGAATTTGAACTTGAAGAAAATTGTATAAAATAACTATTCTTTATTTTCCAAAAATATCAATGCTATGAAAGACAAAGAAAGGCTGAGAAACTGTCTCAGATTAAAGGACATGAAAGAGACAAACAACACAACTAAAGGAAATGCAATACAACTAAAAGAACATTACAAACTAAAGGAAATGATCTTTCAATTAGATCCTGGATTGGAGGGGTTGCCATTAAGGACATTATTTGGATAATTGGTGGAATTTTCATGTGAACAACAGGTTAAATAATAATATTCTACTCATGTTACTTCACAGATATTTTAAGTATGACAACTACCTGGACTTGGTCATTGTGTTGTACTAAGAAAATGTCCTTATTTTTATAGAAATATTTACATGTAAAAAGCATCCTGTTTGCAATTAGTTCTCCCATGCTTCAGAGGGAAAGCAATATGTGAATAATAAATGTATCAATTTATGGATGGATGGATGGACACACACCAATAGACAGATCACCATTCAGTAATGCCTTTTATCACGTCCATCTTCATTATGTCTGATCAAGGGATTCTGTATGATTTTTCTTTGTATTCTCAGTGCCTCTAAACACAGTGCCTAACACATTTTAGGCTTCCAATAAATGTTAGAGGGTACAAAGAAATAAGAAAACTGTGTCATAAAAAGACTTTGCCATAAAAATGTTTGTGATCCAGTATTACCAACCCCAGACATCAATTTGAAATACAAAGAAAAAAGGACATAGTATAAAGGTTCATTGTAAATGGCAGCTATGTTTGTGTTTTCGTGATATTCTGTACACAGAGAATATCAATCAGCCACAAAAAAAAAAAATCTCACCATTTGTGACAGCATGGATAAACCTAGAGGGTATTACACTCACTGAATTAAGTCAGTCAGAAAAAGACAAAAACCATATGATTTCATTTATATGTAGAATCTAAAGAACAAAATATATGAATCAAATTGAAAAAGAGTAATAGAGAGCAGACTTATGGTTGCGAAAGGAGAAGGAATTTGGTGGCTTGGGTAGAAGAGGCGTAGGGATTAAGAAGTACAGACTGGCCCTGGCTGGCATAGCTCAGTGGATTGAGCACGGGCTGCGAAACAAAGTGTCACAGGTTCAATTCCCTGCCAGGACACATACCTGGATTGCAGGCCATGGCCCCCAGCACCCGCACACTGATGTTTCTCTCCCCCCCTCCCTCCCTCCCTCCTTTCCCTCTCTAAAAATAAATAAATAAAATCTTAAAAAAAAGAAGTACAGACTGTTAGGTTAAAAAATAGTTATGGGGATGTAAAGCAAAGCAAAGGGAATATAGTCAATACTATTGCAATGTCTATATATGGTAACAGATGGCTATGAGAAATATTGAGGGGAACACTATGCAAACTATATGACTGTCTAACCACTAAGCTGTACACTGGCAACCAATACAAAATAAAATTGAAAGAAAAAAACTGATAGCAAGTTAGTTGTCCAGGAGCGGGGCAAGAGATAATTAATTATAAATACTTACTGTAGTGGGTGCTGGATTTTATTGAATGCTTTTTCTACATCTATTGACATGTTCATGTGACTTTTGTCTTTCATTTTCTCTATGTGATATATCACATTTGATTTGCAAATATTGTAACAACCTTGCACCCATGGGATAAATCCCACTTGATCACACTTCATGTTGTTTTAATGTATTGCAGGATCCAATCTAATAATATTTCATTAAGCATTTCAGTTATCTATATTCACCAGGGATATATTCCCATAATTTTCCTTCTTTGTTATGTCTGTGGTTTTCGAATTAGGATAATACTGGTGTCATAAAAAAGACCTTGGAAGTCTTCCCTCCTCTTAAATTTTTTGGAATAGTTTCAAAAGGATAGGCATTACTTCTTTGAATGATTGGGAAAATTTCTCCATCAAGCCATCTGGTCCAGGTCTTTGGTTTGCTGGGAGTTTTTTTTTTAAATTACTGCTTTAATTGCATTAGTTATCAGTCTATTCAGGTTCTCTGATTCTTCCTGATTCAGTTTTGGAAGATTGTGTTTTTAGATATTTACCCATTTCTCTAAGGTTGTCCAATTTCTTGCTGTATCCTTGCTCACATTATTTTCTTACAATCCTTTGTATTTCTGTGATATCAGTTGTTATTATCCCTCTTTCATTTCTAATTTTGAGTCCCCTTTTTTTCTTCAAGTGTGGTTAAATGTTTGTCAATCTTATTTACCTTTTCAAATAAATAGCTCCTAGTTTCATTTATCTTTTTAAAGGTTAGCACTAATTGTTTATGCTACTGCACTTCTGTGAACTTTTCCCAGTCAGCCTACCTCTAATGAGCCCACCCCCCAGATAATCCCCAAATCATTCTCCATGTCTTTGAGTCATGTACATATGTTCTTCCACTACTCCCTTCACCTTCCTTCATCCAATCTCCATCTCCCCTTTGGGCTGCAACAGCTGCCAGTCTCTTCAGTGTAACTATGCCTGTTTCTAGTTTGTCCATTAGTTTGCCATTTATTTTATTCATTACATTCCACATATAAAAGGGATACATGGTATTTCTTGTCTTTCACTAAATGGTTTATTTCACTTAGCATAATAATCCCTCAGTCCATTGATCTTTTCAACAATTTTGCCCTCTCTGTTATTTCCTCTTTGATCTTGATTATGTCCTTTCTTCTCCTTACTCTGGGCTTCATTAGTTGTTTCCTAGTTCTTTTAGGGACAGGGTTAGATCGTTTGACATTTCTCTTGCTTCTTGAGGTAGGTCACTAGTGCTATGAACTTTCCTGTCACCACTACTTGCACTGTGTCCCATATAATTAGGCTTCTTGTGTGTTAAATTTCATTTGTTTCCAGGTAATGTTCGTTTCCTTGATCTCATTTATAACCTATTTATTATTTCATAACATGGTATTTAGCTTCCATGTATTGAATATTTTTGCATTTCCTCATTGAGGTTGATTTCAATTTTTATGCCATTGTGATCTGAGAAAATGCTTCATCTGAATGCAATCTTGAATTTGTTAAGAATTATTTTGTGTCCTATTGTGTAGCCTTTCCTTGAGAATATTCCATGTGTACTTGAGAAGAATGTATGTTCTGCTGCTTGGGATAAAATGTTCTGTAAATATCAATTAAATCCATTTGAACTACTGTTGTGAAAAGGTCACTGTTTCCTTCCTGATTTTTCATGGGGAAGATCTATCCATTAATGACAGTGGAGTGGTAAAATCCACTGCCATGACTATATTGCTGTTAATCTCCCTTTATGTCCACCAAGATTTTCTTTATATATGTAGGTGCTCCTATAACCAGTGCATACATATTTACAAGGGTCATATCCTCTTGTTGGATAGGCACCTTCACTATTACGTAGTGACCTTTTTTGTAACTTGTTATGGCCTTTATTTTGAAGT